AGCGGGACTGCTACTGCCGAGTTACTCACGCACCCGATTCACATTTACCGACAATTCGACCGGGACGCCGCCTTTCCCGTGGGGTACCAACTAACATTTTTGGAGTCAGTCAAACCCCCCGATCCGGGCCTCTACTCAGGTCTATCCTCTTTGGCTCCAACTAACGCCTTTCGTTGTGAGACTCGACCATTCATTTTTATTTACATGGTATGTTATGAGATATCCTCTGATATTATTATAACGCTTTCGTTATCCATCTGCATCATCAGGAAACGATGGTTTCCTGATGATACAGATGCTGTCCACAGAAGAAGAAAAAAGAAACAAATGAATTACACCACTTAAATGACTCGAGACAACACCATAATAAACAATTAAGTACACCAGGTTATTGTGAAAGTACGCCCCACGACTGCAGAAAAGAAGGAATTGAAATGACAGTCGAATAAAAAATGTTATAAACAGCGCCATGGATGTGAAGAGACACACCTAAATACATCTGAAAGACCCTTATGACCCTTAGCATGACCCTCATTAACCCTTGGCGTGACCCTCTTTTTGGCCCTTATGACCCTTAGCGTAACCCTTGTTTTGACCCTTAGTGACCATTATTTTCACCCTTATGACCCTTAGCGTAACCATTATTTTGACCCCTATGCCCCTAAGGGTTACTATTATTTTGATCCTTATGGCCCTTAGCGTGACCCTCATGACCCCTGAAAATTTTTGCCGGGTCTTAATTTACAATTTCATTATATAGAGAGATATTGAGGCAACTCTGGGTTTAACTCTGGGTACAGTCTTAATCCCAGAGTTGTATTATTATTGCTGAACAAGTTGTAAATTTCATTGAATGCAGAGGTGGGGGGTGGAGAGGTGGTCTTATGACATTATTGAAGGGTCAATTTCTCCTCTAGGGGAGAGAACAAAGGTCATTTCAACAATGTAATAACAACTCTGGGTTTAACTTTGGACACAGTCTTGATCCCAGAGTGTTACTTTTTGTTGTTGAATAAGTTGTTAATGTTGTTGAATGAAGAAGTGGGAGGGGGGAGGGGGTCTCATGACATTATTGAAGTGATTCTAGGGTCAATTTCCCACTTAGAGAAGTTGCTGGAGATTATTTCAACAATATTAAGGCAGTTCTGGATTTAACTCTGGGTACAGTCTTAATCCCACAGTTGTATTATTATTGCTGAACAAGTTGTAAATTTCATTGAATGGAGAGGTGGTCTTATGACATTATTGAAGGGTCAATTTCTCCTCTAGGAGAGAGAACAAAGGTAATTTCAACAATGTAATAATAACTCTGGTTTTAACTCTGGACACAGTCTTGCTCCCAGAGTTCAACAATGTAATAACAACTCTGGTTTTAACTCTGGACACACTCTTGATCTGGGATCTGGGATTAAGACTGTACCCAGAGTTAAACCCAGAGTTGCCTTAATATTGTTGAAATAATCTTCAGCAACTTCCCTAAGTGGGAAATTGACCCTAGAATCACTTCAATGTCATGAGACCCCCTTCCCTCCCTCACCTCTTCATTCAACAACATTAACAAATTGTTCAACAATAAAAAGTAACACTCTGGGATCAAGACTGTGTCGAGAGTTAAACCCAGAGTTGACGTAACATTGTTGGAATGCCCTTTGGCATCTCTCCTACATGAGAAATTGACCCCAGAATCACTCTAACAATGTTATTATTCTCCCCTCCCTGCCTTCCATCTCTGAAACGATATTTAACATTTGTTTAACAATCAATTGCACAACTCTGGGATCTACTCTGGGTACAGAGTTAAACCGACATTGGGCACCTAACCTCAACTCTGGGTTTCCTCCCAACCCAGACTGGGTTTGTGGAGATTACACAGTCTGGGGAACTCTGGGTCAACTCTGGGTGTGAACCATCAGGGCGCTGACAGCAAATAGAATTTCAACGAGAATTCTCTAAAATTGTAATGGAATCCCCATTGAATTTCTAGAGAATTCCAATAGAATTTTCTAACGAATTCGCTAAGGTATTCTGTTGATTTCTTTCATACGTGTCCTTATTTTTAACGCTTCGAAATTGAACTTGTTTCATTGAATGATACATTCGATCAGAAGATATTGATGATTCAAGAAGGTTGATTTTTCCTCTTCTCTGCCTATCCTGTTTTATCACTTGATTTTATTTCTTAACTTTCCTTTTCAGCCGTAGCTAATCTTTCCATTAGTACAGAATGACAGAAGAATGAACCTCAATTCAAAAGTTGTTGCTCGAAATTCTAAACAAGTTTTACAAATATTCAAGTTCAGATTCTCTAGTTCATTTTCTTCTGCTCAGGATTGAAGTTGAAAATAAATCAAGTTGTAATACCTTGTAATCCTTATCCTTGTACGCCTGCCATGGCTCAGGATTCTTCTTTGGCTGCCAGGATACATCAGGACTGTATACTGCCAAACGTATAAGATAAGCCGATGATATAAAGAGACCAGCACCGAGGCAAACATACAACGGGATCAGCTGTAAATAATCAGTGATGTAACTCGTGTTCTACATTCAGGAACAATGGAAAAATGGAATTGATGACAATGGTTTTTACGTACCGACGGATACTTGCGGAGGTCTTTCAACGACATACCCTTCATCATGGTTGATTTTTTCTTAGTTACGTGATTATCGGAAATAAACGTCTGACCCACGACTGGATCCAAAAGATTTTTTCACTAATATTCTTGGAGGTTGGGTATTGGGTTAGAAGGGCAATGCGTGCGCATGACCGTCGCAGAGGTGATTGAACCGACCTCTGGAAACTTCTGAAATGTATTTGGCTGACAATGTAAGATCGAGAACTGCAGAGAAATTGAAAATTTGAAAAGAGTGTTTTTGCGGTGAACTCAAAATTCGTGACTTTAATTTCTGGGTGACCTGGGTAGCTAATATGAATTTAAATTTCTTCTTGACACCTCATGTAATAATTATGGGTGCTCAGGTAGTTGTACAAGACCTCCCTAATACACGAGTAATATTATTGAAAGGTGAAATAATCAGTACAATTTTCATTTTATTTATAGAATAATCAATGTAAGTTGAAATCCTCCAAAAATTAAGTCCCGTCCAGAAATTGACCTGTTTACCCTACTCAATTTATATCAAAATCTAAAAAATAAATTTTTTTTTTACTGAAATAGCGTACAATACGCATAAATGAAGATTCTCGATGGAGAATAACATTTCTCAAGCTTATGGAAATCGGTGAGGGACACTCGGGACGATTTCCTTGTAAGAAAATTATCCTTGATGAAAAACTAATGTGAAATAACTTTTGAAATAATTATTTTTCCTCGAACTTCGTGGGATGCAATAAGTGACTCGTTTGAAAATATTGTGACGTCATGAGGTTGGAATCACGGATTAAGTATTCGTACCCGGGAGCACTGCAGGAATGAGCTTCTCAAACACAGTCAAACATTCTTAACCAAAAAACATGATTGAGAAGATATTTTAAATTATTTTTAAGTATTTTGAGAGAGTAATCATCATGTCGGTGATGTTAACTGCTGACTGGTTTCCCCTGGGCAGGGATACCTACTTCAGGTAATTACAATAATTAAACCTTAATATTCTTAACATAAAAATATTCGAGTGAGCGACTTTTCGTGATGAAATTGATTGTTGAAGAATTACATTTGCATTTTTTTGGTGTAACAAATGTGAAATTCCTCCGGACTGAAATTGATAATGGCTAATTGAATATTACAAAACTCAAAATAATGAATTGAATTCACTCTAATTGTCAATTGTTGATATTGTCAAATATTGACAATTTTCCACCTGAACTTTTTTCTAAGTAACATTTGTCGTCCAAAATCTATTTACTTGGGCTGAATTTCTTTTTAGGAACATTTTTTATTCAATTTCTGTTCAATATTTTTGGTAAATACATTAATGGAAAATAATAGTTGTTTCCAATTTCCACTTTGTATTCCTAAATTTGTCTCGAAGACTCAACTACGAGATGAATTGAGTTAGTACCCTTTTATGATTCAGTTACTGATTTTATCTTCATTATTTACCTATGAGAGGAGAATACATTTTAAATAAAGGAACTTTCACAAAATGGAATTTTAGTGTGGCTAATTATTCATCGATCTTTTTTATAATATCCTTGCCCAAATTCATTAATAAATATTATCATGGAAAATCTCCAAGTCCATATTGTATTCTCGATAAACAACTCTGAATCTAACAAAGATATCGATTTTCTTAGAGGACTTTTTTTATAGTTTCCACGTCGCTCTGCATGAAAGGTCTTTATACAAATTCTACTATCTTTCTCGGATTTCGAGGTATTTTGGAAAAACTCAACTAAGAAATTAGTCAAATTGTTATTCTTCACCACGTCCCTTCTAATTCTATTTCCATAAAACAACACCCAGTTCTTCACGTATGGAAATATTTAATAAAAAACTTAGCAAATTCCCTAGATTATTTTTCTCACTCGGATTTCAGCCAATCAGAGTGCAGTATTTAAGGCTATCAAAAAGTTTTATTTCGGGAATTTTCCTCATCCAAATGTCAGCCAATAGAATTGCACTATTCGGCTGTTATTTCATATAGTCTACACGGTATTCAGCTGATAATTTTTGATAATTCAACTGGTAATTTTTCATGTTGACTATATTTGTGGAAAACAAAAGATTCCGTGGTCTACTGACCCCCTGGTTGGAACTGTCAGATGGATTTTGTCTCATAGTACAATTCTTTTGGCCGACATTCGGATGCGAAAATTCCCTCCCGAATACTACTCGAGCTTCAAAATTAATCGAGTAATTCTGTCAAGGTTCCCTGCACCCACACGAAGTCGTCAAGTTTTTCAGGAACCTGAAAAACTTGACTCCTTCGTTTGTTTGCAATGAACCTATCGGGAATTGCTCGATAATTTTGAAGCTCTCGTGGTATTACTTGTGGAAATTTCTAAAAAAAATTTCTGACAGAAATTCACTAGTAGCTTTTCAAATGTTTTTCATCTTTCAACGCATTTCACATTTAATATTCTGTGTGACAGATAAACAAAAAAGTGGGTTGTCAATGTAAGGCTGTGTAAATGTATCCGGATGGTGTTCACTGCACTCTGCTTGGCCGAAATTCGAGTGGAAAAATAGTCCGTCAAATACCACTCGTGCTTCAAAATTAATCGGATATTTTCCTCAAGCTTTCCTGCCTAGGTACGAGTGTACTTCTCGTGCTTCGCACGCGGGATTTTAAACCTGGAAAATTTGACATAATCATTCCTATGCAGGGGAGCTTGAGGAAAATATCCGATTAATTTTGAAACACTAGTGGTATTACTACTAAAAATTTTATTGGAATTCTATAGGAATTCTATGGGGTTCCTATAGGATTTCTATTGGAAAATTATATTCATTTTTTGCGCTGATTCTATTGGAGATTCGATAAGGAAACGTTAATAGATTTCGCATTTCTGTTTGAATTTTTCTCTTGAGATTTTTTCTATAAGAATGCTTGGGCATCAATTTTCTCAGTTTTTTCCACTCGGATTCTGTAATGCAAATCAAAACAAAATCCAGAAATTTGTGCCCAATAATTCTAATAGAAAATATTTAAAGAGAAAATTCGAAGAAATTCAAAATATATTAACTTTTTCCTATCAAATATGCAATAAAATCAGCGCAAAAAACAAGTAGAATTTTTCAATAGAATTCCAATAGAAATCCTACAGGAACCCCCATAGAATTTCTATAGAATTCTAATAGAATTTTCTATTGAATTTTTTCATGCGTGTTCCTGAAGCACCCCTCAAACCCATGAATGATTGATCCTGAAAATATACATAAATGGATTTTCACTATTGTTTACTCATTCTACATCAATTGTGGGACAGCTAATTTTCGAAAGAAAATCAGAAATTAAAAAAACTAATCGATGAATTAAATTTTAATTAATGGCGATCGATAGAGCTCAATAATACCTAAATTTGAGGAAAAAAAGTCAATTCCATTCATTCATTAGCGAACAATTGAAGACAAACTTCATCACACACATACATATCTACACACACACTTGCGGACACGGTCTAAAAATTGCATTTTCGCACTTTTTGGATCATAATAATGGGACCACATGACACAAAGAATCCAAAATTTAAATTTGAACCATCACAATGCTTGCATTAGGAAACAAAAAGCTACTAAAAATTCAAGTAATGGATTTCTCAATCTATTTCATCGAAGAATCACCTTTTGGTTGAAATATTTCACCAATTATTATAATTCTTAACTGTTTCATCAATTTAGTAAAGGCAAAGAAATAAGTAACAGTAAAAAATGCATATGTATACTTGTTCAGAATCCCATAAATGACCCTCACAGTTATGATCTTCTAGGAAATTCGAGCTCTACCCACTCGAATTCCAGCGCGAAGTCAACCCGGGAAACCTCGTGATCCCCTCCCCCTACGGAGGATCCATAGCCATCACTCGAGACCCAAAAAAATTCGTCAAAGTTCAGGGCTCCACTAAGCCCATAGTCTCCCTCTACTTTTCCTCAGGCAAGCTCTTCTCGAAATTCACCTGGAACAGTGGTCAGCTGGTGGACCTTGGTTGGTCTCACCAGGAGGAGCTTCTCTGCGTCCAAGATGATGGAATGGTCCTTATCTACGACCTTTTCGGTGTCTACCAGTGCACCTTCAGCATGGGGAATGAAGTTAAGAGCACGAAAGTCGTCGACTGCGAGTTCTTCACAACAGTAAGTGGCACTGGAATAGCAGTTCTGACGTCAACGAATGTCATTTTCTTGGTGAATAATATCTCCGAGCCCAAAGTTCGTCAACTTCCTGAAATCCCCAAGCTGGGGGGTCCCATTGACTCGTGGGTGGTGATAAGACACGAGAGACAGAGTCAGGTAATCGTGGCAAACCAAAATGGCATCTACCAGGTACACCACATGGGCAAAACTCCTGCGCCTATCCCCTTCTCAAGCCTCTTCAACGGTAAAGTCTCCAATGTCAGAGCAATGGCTGTTTCTGCTAGTCATCAGCACATCGCTCTACTTGGAGACACTGGACACCTTTGGTTGGGCTCCTCAGACCTGAAGAATAAGTACGCAGAGGTGCTGACAACCCTCACTGATCCCTCGACGTCCATATGCTGGTGTGGGGTTGAGGCTGTCGTCTGTGTCTTCAATACCACCTTAATGATTGTTGGGAGGAGTGGAGAGACTATCGTGTATTCTTATGATTCTCCTCTCCATCTGATTTCTGAGGTCGACGGGGTGAGGATCATCTCTGCAAACAGTCATGAGATGATCCAGAAAGTGCCCAATGTTGTGCAGAGGATTTTCAGGATCAATTCTACTGATCCTGCTTCGTATTTACTTGAGGCTTCCAGACAGTTTCAGAAGAGGAGCCATAAGGCTGATAGTTATATTGATCTGGTGAAGGACAAGTTGGATTCTGCTATTAAGGTGAGTCGGTGTTTGGAAGGTTGATAGGGAAACTTTCGTGGAAAACCCTTTTTTCAGAGCGATATATGAAAAAAACTTGCCTTAAGAGGCAATGGAACTTACCATCGGAGTAGAAATTGGATTCCAAGTTCTTTCGTCGTCAGACGACTATTTAGCAAAATCCAAATTCTGATTTATGTGAAGAGAATGTTTAAAAAACGGAGAAATTTTTCAAGATTATTCTTACCCAACTGAATTGGAAAATTCAATAATTAAAAATCGCCAAATCAATTCTGTAGCGAAGTGGTAAACTAGGATAAGTGCAGTTTTTTTGAAAAAAAAATGTTCTCGTGAAACAGTTTCATTTTTGCACTTATATTAATTCACCCCTTCGCTATAGAATTCTTTCACGTTATTATTTTCCCCCAACCCTCTAATCTTTTCATTCGAATAATTGCACAGGATTGCGTCCATGCAGCAAGTCACTGGACATTCAAAATCCATACACTTGGGTTTATTTTTTTTAGGACGATTTTTTATTCAAAAAATTGAAAAATTGAATTTTTGAGGATTGTATCTTTTTTTCATGATTAATATACAAACAATTAATTTTCCACCCCCAAAACCATTTTTTCGAAATCGTAAGTTCTGACCCCTTCAAAATTTTATCAAAAATCTGTCCGATGCAAAAACAAAGTTTTCAGACGGTTCAACAGTTTTCATTATTTAATTCATTTACGTGAAAGGAATGTTTTAGAAAAGAATGTAGGAATTCTGCCAGATTTTTCTCACTTAATTTAATTGAAAAATTCAATGATTGAAAATGACCAAATCTATTCTTTCATCTTATTATTTTTGCAGAAACCTCTAACGTTTTCATTCGACTATTTGCACAGGATTGCAAGCCATTGGACATTCGAAATCCATGCATTGGGGTTTAATTTTTTTAGGACGATTTTTTATTCAAAAAATTGAAAATTGCAGTTTCTGAGGATTGTAACCTTTTTTCATGATTAATATACAAACAATTCATTTTCCGCTATCAAAATCATTTTTTCGAAATCGTAGCAAGTTCTGACTAATTCAAAATTTTATCAAAATTCTATCCAATGCAAAAACAAATTTTTCAGAAGGATCAACAGTTTTCAGTATTTTAGTCATTTATATGAAGGGAATGTTTTTTAGAACTAAAGGAGAAATTTTTCCAGATTTTTCTTACCCAATTTAATTGAACAATTCGATGATTGAAAATGTCAAAATCAATTATTTCATGTTATTATTTTACCCCAATCCTCTAACCTTTTTATTCGAATAATTCGACAGGACTGTGTCAATGCAGCAAGCCATGAATTCAACCCAGACACCCAGAAGCTCCTGATGAGAGCAGCGAAATTCGGGAAAGGATTTTCAAAAACGATAAACCCCGATAGATACGTAACAATGTGTAGAATTCTCCGAGTCCTCAATGCAATTCGTTACCCAGCCATTGGCATTCCCCTGACATTCACACAGTTGGACATGCTGACACCTCAGGTGCTACTGGACAGACTGGTAGTCAGGAGGCACTACTATTTAAGCATCCAGGTAGCAAGACACCTGAAAATGCCTGAGGTGGATGGAGAGAGTAGGATCCTGGCACACTGGGCCTGTTACAAAGTCAAACAGACAGTTCTAGATAAGGAGCAGATCGCCGAGGAAATAGCAGCGAAATTGGGGTATGCCCCAGGTGTTTCGTATTCTGAAATTGCGGAGAAAGCTGCTGACTGTGGGAGGAAGCAATTGGCGATCAAACTTATTGATTACGAGCCTCGGGCTCAGTTGCAGGTGCCTCTGCTCCTGAGACTGGGGGTCGAACAGGCGGCGTTGAACAAGGCCGTTGAAAGTGGAAATACTGACCTAGTTTATACCGTCATTCTGTATTTCCAGAAGAACATGCCACTTGCTAATTTTGAAATGTCTATTAAGCATTGTCCACTGGCCATGAGTCTGTATGTCAAGTACTGCCAGAATCATAACAGAGAGGCCTTGTTGGATATCTATGTAATGCATGATGACTTTCATGCACAGGCGTTGTGGTATATCAAGGAGAGTCATAATCCAAAGGTGAGAGAAATGAAAAAAAAATCTTTGGATGAATTCTAATTCATGCTCATTCTTGTGCGATTTTTTTTGCTTCCTGATGAAAACTTTGTAATCGTTGATTTTGACGATTTTCCAATATTGCCTGGAAATGACGTAGAATTTCATGAAACGTGGAGATATCTCTCTATATTATACAAATGGAAATCGACTTCTAGTGATACAAATTTGGTACTCGAAATTAAGACTACAAAATTAAGGGTCACGAGGGTCAAAATAATAGTCATGAGGTTAAGAAGAAGGGTCATAAGAATCAGAACACGGGTCACAAGGGTCAAAATACCGGTCATGAAGTTCAAAATCAGGGTCATGAGATAATCACTTGCAGATAATTTTTATGTATATCTCAGAATTAATAAAAAATGGCCGATTTTTTGTAAGTTTTTCTCTTCAGATTCTTTTCCTCTACGAAAAGGTTCATAGAAAAATTGGGTTATCTCTCTTCAATTCCAAAACATCTTTTGAAAAACTACTTCCAAGTGAAATTCATGTTTGCTACTTCAATAATTAATTACTGAATGAATTGTACCTATTAAAACATATTTCGATTTTTTTTCTACTTTTTGTAGATTTTTGTAGAGATGAAAAGCGCTGAAAAATTCAAACATTTTATTCCATTTATTTCAACTGCATTGATGGACAATGAATCTATTTACATTAAATTTCCTTCATGTCTTTTCTAATTCACATTTTACTGCCTATAAAATATTTTTTTCAGAAATGTGGGAAGACTGCTAAGTAAATCTTTTTATTCCAGAATATTCAGACACGTGAAGCACTCTTGAAGAACGCCCAAGAGAAATTCAAAATGGGGAGATTTGATATGAATGCAGCACTGACTGAGGAACAAGTGAAATTGTTGAAGCACCAAAGATCTCTGGAGGACACTCTCAGGGAACAGATCGTGGGGAAACCTGTGCATGATACTGTCAAGTTGCTATTACTACAGAATGAGATCAAATTGGCGGAGAATTTAAAATCCGAGTATAAAATACCAGACAGGAGGTACTGGTGGCTGAGGATCCAGTGCCTCGCTGAGAAGGGTCTCTGGAGTGAACTTGAAAAATTCTCAAAGAGTAAAAAATCACCAATTGGATATGAGGTAAACATGTAAAAATTGACATGATTTTTCTTTCCTGATCCTTTCTTTTTTTTGAAGATTAACGATATGTGTAAAAAAATTTCTTCTAATCAGAATTGAATTGAATTTTTTTTAGTCATTCATTGACGAATGTCTAAAATACGGAAATAGATTGGAAGCGAAGAAATATTTACCGAGAGTCAAGGAAGAATTGAAGATAAAGTACTTCGCAAGAATGGGGTATGTAAACTTGAAAAAAGTTATTTTTACTTTTAGGCAGAAATTTGTCACTAATCGAAAGAAATTGAGATAATTTTTGAAAAAAATTGAGGTCCTGAGACTGGGTCAAAGTTCATTCATTTTCACGGCACATGAAAAACATGGGTTTTTTCATCTTCTTATCATAATAGCGCAGAAACTATCAGATGAAAACAAAGGAAACCCCGTATTGGAGTAGAGTAATATTCAATCTAACGAATGAAATTGAATCCACAGTCGTGCGAATTTTTTTCCCGAAAATATCAGCCTCCTAAGTTTGCAGACTACATTTTTGAAAAGGATAAATGTCTCTACAGTTGAGGCTTGAATTACAAATAAATACCAAGAGATTGATAAGTTTTTAGCAAATATAGTCCTGATGTCCCCCAAAAAACATTAATGTCCAAGATAATTCTAATAGTGTAGGTTGATAATTTTCTAGCTGCAATTGCGTCTCGACATTCTCTTCCAAAATTATTAACTTTCAAAATAATCAAATATTTAACAAAATGAAAAATTGATTAGTTCAGTTCCACTAGTAAAAATGTTCCTAAATATTTATGTTCATCACAGAATGTTGGCAGAAGCAGCTCAGACAGCCTATGAGCAGAAAGACTCATCAGCCCTATCATTCGTATTAGCTCAATGTGGATCCTCAGATCGGCCGTTAGCCGAGAAGATCAATGGAATGATTGCTAGTCTGAGAAATGGAAAATAAATGAGACAAGTATTTCCTCATCTCCCATAAGTCTTATTCCCGATGAAATCCCATAGAAATCAGTTATATAAATTTTGTACATAGTTATTTGTATACAGAAATGTGCAGTAATAAAATTAATCATTTGAATTATCTCGAAATGTCTCATTCATCATAACTCCACATTAATCACACAGGGATTCAGCAAAAATCAACTAGTTTCTTTTGCTGATAAAAATTCTTCGTGTCTTTTTACTAAATCATCAATTATGTACTTCTCGATTTCTTCTCCCCGATTCATCTGTTCATTTGTCAATGAGATGACGTAGTCTTTGTCCTTGTCTACCATTGTCACCTTTTGTTTCCGAGTTTGCAGCATATTTGCTATCACCAACTGTGGAAAAAAGTTGTATAAGTACGAGCCATTGGAAATATATCACGTATGAAGAATTTCAATGGAAAATTTGACATATTTGCTAGGAAATTCTATTCGAAATGCTATTTTGTTGGGATATTGTATTAAAAATTCGTATTAAAAAATGAATAGAATTTAAATTTTCTCTATAGGAGTTCTTGAGTAGGGTGAACTGCCCATATGCGGAACACTACCCAAGAACGGAACATTTCTCAGATTTTACGAGATTTCTCAAATTTTGGCCATGCTATCGATTTGATTTTTTTTTCTAAATTAAGTTTATATCCCTCCTCATGACGTCATCACAAATCTGATCGGCTATCGATTACCTCCTGCTGAATATTGGAGAAAAATCCTGGCAGCAGCCAGTTTGCGGCGATTGATAGTTACGCGTGCCATTTGACGGGTTTTTTTTGAAGCGATGTTTTTTAGATTTTAAATCACACAATGCGGTAAGTTGTGATTGATATTGATATAAAATCCTTCATTCTTCAATATTTCCATATCAATTTCATCAGAAAAATGCTATTGTATTGAATATATGGGGGTTCCGTCTTTAGGGTTAGTTTTCCACGCAATTCCAAACGAACGGAACACTCATACGGGTGGATACCTATGTCAAGTGGGAATACGGTGATACTGTGGAAAGTGTATTGGCGGTTAATGAACTAATAATTTAATGAAGTTAATCGGAATCGTATCCCTAAATTAGTTTATTTTCTTCATTTTTTCGCGTAGATGGCTTCAAAAGGTAAAAACACACGAAAAATACACGAAGAGGAGGGAGAACAATCAGCCAAGGCAGAAGAGGTTAGGAAACCCTCTCAACGGTTTAAATACACAAAAAAAATCTAGAAGAAGCGATTGAGGCTGTGAAATCGGGGAAGAGCTCTCTAAATAATGCATCAATTAATTATGTTATCCCCAAAACTACATTGCATTCACGAGTCCACGACAAAGTATCTGGATACTCTCATGGTCGTCAGTCTGTATTGACAGTTGGGGAAATCCACCGAAAAGATATAAATTTCGGGAGGAATTGAACAAAATTGTATATTTTCTGATTAATATCCTCCTCGATATGACTTCGCATCAGGAATTAATCTCTCAACGTCACACTAACCTCCAATGTTCCGTAAATGGGCAGACGATGTTCCACTCTTGGCAAAAGTGTTCCGTCCTTGGTATATTCGATGTGCGTGTACTTATTAATTATTTCCAATTATTTCCCATCAAGTGATAGGTTCCTTCATTTTTTCTCAGAAAATAGACTAAATTTGGAATTAGGCAGTATTTTTCTTAAATTTTTCAAGAGAAAATTTCAATATTTCATGACTGTGTAAACTTCTGAAAGGGCTTAAATGTTCCGTAAATGGGCAGTTCACCCTATGACTGTTTAATTTTTTACTAAAATTGAAGTAGCTCCTTGATGTGGATTTTTAATGTTGTGAATTTGAATGAAATTTAAAATTAAATCCATTGAATTCATTATTGATCTTTGAAATGCAACAAAATTGATGTGTCAATGACAGCTTGAATATTCAAACTCATGCTGAAAATTATTTCGATTACTTATTCTATTTATTTCGCTGAATTTGAATTTTATGAATTTTACCACACATAATTTGATAATCGAAATGATTCTAAAAAATCGTTACATAACTTTCATAGGATCTACCTTATGGTTGTAGGTGTTCAGAGACGCTCTAGCCTTTGAAATTAATAAATTCTCATCAGTTTCCAGTTTGAAGGAGATGACAAATGCTTTAGGAACCCAAAGATTGACCAGAGGCTTCAGAATTTTCGGAACTAAGTGGAGAGCTATCTTCGGGGCTCCAACTGCTGATCCAATTTTATGCACAGACTACAAAAAAGGATGAATAACGCATTGAATGAATTATTTTAAAAAGTGAATAATTCTTATGGTCGGAATTAGGGAAATCCAAGTACTTTCGCTATTTTTTCTCCAGTAAAATGCTTTTCTACTTTTGTAGTCGAACATCAGAGCTTTCATTTGACTCTAAGTTTCCGGACATTTTACCATGATTGTATTGTTTAAACTTTACAGGTTTGAATTTGAAAAAATGTTAGAAAGTTTACTTTTGAAAGAAGATGGAATAATTAAAAAATTACAATTTTTGAAAGTTATGAGCATTTTCTACTGATAACTTATGAACAATGAATTTTTCACCATAAAAATCATTTGTCCGGAATCGTAGCAAATTGATCCATATTCAGAATTTTACCAAAATTCGATTTCACGTCTAAAAAAATAACCTTTCCGAAAGTTTAAACAATTTCAATTATTTATTTATAAACAACGAATATTTAAAAAAATAATAATTCTCTGCACAATGTGACTCGAATGACGCTGAATTTTCGTGATTTTCTTCAAAGTTTACTCACGCAATTTAATTGACAAATTCGATGATTGAAAATGGTTGAATCTATAGTGTGGTCTGTATCAAACTGTAAAAAATACTTGAATATCCTTAATTTAATGCTGATAGAGGAATCACTAGTTTTTTTATTGATTTACGAAAAATCCCAATCTTTCTTTTATTCTTCCCATTTTTTTTCCTTTCCAATTGCACAGTGATTAAGGTAATTGTACCTATGCTCGTCCTTTCCCTTATGCTCGTTCCGATGTCGCAAGCTATCATATTTTAATCGTTTTTAAAGGTCCCAAGAATCTATTAAGAGTGAAATACAATTGGAGTTATTATTTTAGTTAATAAGGAAAGTTATTGACACCAATGAACAATGATTTATTGAAGAATAAGAGAGAAAAATCCCATTCACCTCAACTGGTGCTATGACATAGGGATAAGTGCATAGGGATAAGTGAGCGAGCGTAGGGACAGCGGAATTTCCACATCTATAGACGATTATTTATTAAAAAATAGTAGTTATCATGATTAAACTGAGGGAATTCTAATCCTGAAGATTTTACCCTCTGATGTCTAATTCAAAGCATCACATCTTCGCACTCATTTCGATAGAAATATTAGACTAATGATGTGTTCACCTTAGCTATATGAGCGAAGGGTCATTTACCATACCATTTCATTGGATGGAACGTAAAAATCGGAAACTGCAGCAGCCAAATACAGTATGACTCGTTTCCCTAAGGGGGCGAGGGCCTGAGAGGCAGCTCTCAGCAGCCAGAGATATTCGGATAACGTTGTAAAACTCAACTGAAATAATTTTCCTTGTTTGAGGGCACTTTTGTATTTTATCAGAGCTTGAGCAACATCCTCTGAATATGTTTCAGACACCGTCAATTGTGGTTTCCCATCTCTCTCGGTTAGGTCTAACATATCCAGGAATTTCTGGCCTGTGAAGTGTCGGGAGAAGGGCTCCAACGATTTAATCCTGAAAGATGAATATCAAAATGTAATTCGCGTGGAAAAAATTAATTGCATATTCATTGAGACATGATTTTGCTGCATGGTCAAATAATTTTGCAAGACTGAATCAAAAGAAATAGTTTCGACAGAAATAATTTGAATAAAAGAATGATTACATCAAATGATTTTCATGACAAATGGCAAATCATTACAGAGGAAGCGAATCAAGTCTGCTGTTTTCTTTACCGCATTTATAAGCATTAGTTTTTAATTGTTCTGGAAATTTTATTCATTTTTCAGCGATTTTTATTCAGAATTCTGGGAATTCTTCGGGACTTTTTGCTAGAATTCGATTCAAAAACAAGTGGATAATTGCATTTTGTTACACATGGGTATAATTATGGACGAATGGATTCTCTTTCATTCTTAATTCTTATTTCACTATTTTCTTCTTCTATTTTTTCATGTCATGGTACTATCATCAATTGTCGTTGTCATCAAATGTCGTCAACATTTTGTCGAGACCAAGAATCAATATTAATAAGTATTCCACATAATAGACTGATACCTGAGTTTAAAATGAATTGAGACTTTGATATAAAAAGTGACGGTATTGTGTAACTTCATAAGCAATGATGTTGATCTCCGCACTTTTCAACTTAATTAAGAAGGTATTGATTATGGGCTTTTCAAGCCCTGATTTAATTGAGATTATGGATATTTTTCAATAATCATGAAAAAACCGACTTCAATTGCATAAACAATGTGCTGTAACTCAACAACGAATTGTGCGACTCCCATCATATTCTGATAGAATCAAGAAGGGATTGTTATCAATTTTTTTGAGTAATGACTAATTCGATTTTAATGACAATTATTCTAGTGAATTGTGAAAAATCAATTTTAGGAAAAATATAATTTTTTTCGAATATGTATGAAAGATTGAATTTTAATTCTTGTTCTGAGACTCATTCGATAAAAATTCTAAGTCATAAATTTTCTATGCTTCCTCCACAGTACTTTTTCAATCTTTTATCGCAGATTCTTTCCATTTAATAACACTGAGATTTAAGACATAAGTGAAAATAATTTTGAAAAGTTTATGTGGAAGAATTTCTACAGAATGTTCGTTATATGAATATAGAAATATAAGACGATAAGATAGTTTCAATGGAAACTATCTTATCGTTTCATTTCCTTCCGAAAAAAAGCGCAGAAAAGCTGCGAAATTTTTCAATAAAAATTGGCGAAAGACGCGTCGAATTTTTAATAGAATTCCATTCAAATTTTTTAATGAATGCGCTAACTTTCCCTACGAAATTTCCCCATACATAGCAGGATTAAAATGAGAAAGAATGTAAATGTATGAGAAAGCAGGCATGTCAATGAATGAAGGAGGAGAAATGGACAATAACAATTCTAAAGGCATAGTATTGAAAAAAATGGACGTAAAATTCTTTCGAAACTCTCTGTCAAGTCAAATGGACAATTATGAAATTTATGTGAAAACAAAATATTCAAGAATTAAATCACAATATTTGTAAATGTCATAAATATAATACTACACCAAAACTAGACTTCGAAAAAATGAAAATTGTGAACAATCAATTGCCCAATAAACATTTGTTATAATTTGCCATCAATTCCTGGACGTGAAGGTAAAACTCATTAATCAATTCACCTGTACATAAAAATGACAGCATATCCGTGCTCCAGAAAATACTCTGTGGAGACAGATCCCCTGGTGCCAGCGGAAAAATTGTCAACAAATCTCACAGTGTTGTGCTCCAGAGGAACGGTCGTTCCTCCACTCTGAAATCAATCATTTTCCTCATGCATTTTCTTTTTGATCATGAAAATATATGAGTTTTACGTACCGTTACTAAAGCGATTCTCGTGTGCCCATCGGAATAACGTTCCACGAAATCATTCAGCAATTTCTTGCTGCTCTCCAGATCACTCGGTTTCGGTTGATTTGCGTAGAATTCTTCCCAATTTGGCTCCATTACTCTAATTATATTCCAAGGACAATTTTTTCCTTCAAAATTGAAACAAAAATTATGACGAAGAACAATCACTGAGGTTTCTAATCAATTTTGAATTTTCATTGTTACATAACCTCACCTGTTTCTCGTCGAGTTCGTCGAGTTACAGACTTTTGTTATAATCTAATCGTTGTTCTAATAAAGTTCAACAATAATCGGAGGGGGGGTTTCGTTTGCTTTTTGCACGCTTGCTCTTACGTATGTACAGTCGTCAAATTAAGTTCTGGGAGTAACTAGACGTTGGTTGGCAATGTTCGATTGCACGGAATATAGGACCGAAACGAACGAGCGGTTCGTACCTCGATGGTTTTAGTTCGTGCTCCAGTGATTGGGTAGAGTGGGTGAATTTGGACGAATTTTCAATGCCGGCAACGGCAACTCAAACCTCCATAATAACAAAAACAAAGTAAATATCCGGAGCACAGTGGGTTTAGGACAAAAATGGCATAATTTAGAAAAATATATGTATTTAATAGAAAAACTTAGCGATTCCGTTAGACAATTCTATTGGTTTTCTGTAGAAATTCCATTAGTTTTTGGCCGTTTCTTTTAAAATGTTCAATTGAAAATATCCTATACAAAGTCAATATGATTCGATTTTTCTATACAACTTATTCTATTGAAATATTTTCTATTGAAATTTCTTCGGCTCAAATTTTCTAAGTTTTTTTGTTTGATTTTCTTGAAAGGAAGAAAAGAAACATTGAATGAAGAAAACTTCAATTAAGAAAATTCGAGAAAATTCAATAGAAAATATTTGAATAGAATAAGTTGTGTAGAAAAATCGAATTCTATTGAATTTTTCTATCCAATATTTCTACAAACGGGTTCATAAAGGGTGGGTGGGATTGGCAATTTTCCTGGCTTCATTATGAATTCTGATTTGAGGTTCTCACTATTGAAGTTCTTGAGAGGATCTAAATTCTATGGACATTTTGGGGAATCGAATTAAACTTCTTGACATTTTTTTTGAAATTCTGGGGGCAAGGGGTGGGGGTTGATCATGTGAGGGAATCCGTACGGGAGTTCCTGATCCAGAAAGAAGCTGGTGATGTGTCAGAGCATTCTTTATCGAGATAATCAGCGAAACCGAATCTTGGACAGAAATGTGATTTTGTGGGGTTTTTCGTGGAATTCTGTGGCAAAACGGGTTCATAAAGGGTGGGTGGGGTTGGAGATTTTCCTAGCTTCATTATGAATTCTGATTTGAGGTTTTGACTATTGCAGTTCTCAAGATAATCGAAATTCTACGGCCGTTTTGGGGAATTGCATTAAACATTTGAAATTTCCAGAAAATTTTATTCAATTTTTTTCTGACCCACTTAGACCAGATCATTCATTTTGGTAGTTCATTCAATTCATCCCTGAATTTTGTGAAAATGCTTAGTCTGTCAGATGTTTCGCCCGATATCTGCAACAAAAATTTGCAAAGATCAATATCTTTCTCTGCAAATGGAAGAAACTTGCAGAATTCATTTAATTACAGATGAAAGCCTTTGTCAGTTACTTTACACTCTAACAAAAACAAACAAACTGTTCAATAGCCAAAGTGGTTTGGGAAATACTATAAAAAGAAAATAGAAAGTGTTTCTGATAGAATCTGTCTAAATTAACAGTTTCAAATATTATTATTCTTTTATTCTCATATTCAATCAATAAAAAAAAATTGAGGAAAGTTTTCTAAAGAAAATTTTGCCAGCAGATTTTTTTTCTACTGAAATGATTTTAGGAATTGATGTGAAAAGACCTCTTATGTACTTGATAAAATATTCATAAGAAATCTTTCTCTTTTCACTTTCCCCTTTAAAATCATTCGTTACTAAAATAATTGAAGACTTGCCAAGACGAATACCTTGATTTCTCTTAGCTATAAGCACCATGAAGGTGAATATCATAAATATATTCAGGTGAATTATTCAATTCTTTCTCGCATCCAATGGCTTCTGATTATTTAGTTTGTTTGTTGATTCAATTCACTATAGAGCATCTGATCGAAATTGTCAGTTTCTTCTCGATGTTTCGCTCCCATATGTGCAATGTAAATTGACAAGAATGGATATTTTAAGAATTCTGCTAAAAAAAAACTTTATCAGTTACTTTACATTCAAATGAAATAAACAAACCCTTTAACAAAAAAAAATCGTTCAGAAAATTTCATGAATAGCAAATAGAAGTTATTTCTGATAGTCTGACTGAATCAAAAGTTTCAAATATTATTATCCTTTTATTTTCATATTGCATCAATAACAAAATTGAGAAAAGTTTTCATTCAACAATGATATTGTCAATAGATTATGGAATGCGTAATTTTCGGAGTTTATGTTAAGAGAC